TTTCCCATTTCCCATTCCCATTCCCGCAGCTCCTGCTCAGCGCCCGCTGCAGCTCCATCCTGGACAGGCAGGAAGTGCCAGACCCAGAATTCCCATTCCCCATTTCCCATTCCCTATTTCCCATTTCCCATTCCATTTCCCATTCCTGCAGCTCCTGCTCAGCGCCCGCTGCAGCTCCATCCTGGACAGGCAGGAAGTGCCAGATCCAGAATTCCCGTTTCCCATTCCCATTTCCCATTCCCTATTTCCCATTCCCGCAGCTCCTGCTCAGCGCCCGCTGCAGCTCCATCCTGGACAGGCAGCTGGCGGAGAAGCGGCAGGTGCAGGGGGAGCTGCGGGCGGAGGAGCAGCGCCTGGCGCGGCTCATGGACAGCCAGCGGGAGAAGGAGCTGCAGCTGCAGGAGGAGCTGGAGCGCCGCAGGAAGCAGGAGCTCATCAGGTCCTGCCATTCCCTTTTCCTTTCCCTCTTCCCTTTTCCCTTATCCCTTTCTCCTAATCTCTTCTCCCTTCCCCCATTCTTTTTTTCCTCTTCACTTTCCTCTTTCTCCTTTTCCTTTTTCCCTTTTCCTCTCCTTCCCTTTTTTTGCCTTTTCCCTTTCCCCATTCCCCTTCTTTTCCCTCCTTTTCCCTCTCTCCATTTCCCCTTTTCTCCCTCTTTTCCCTTCCCCTTTTTTCCCTCTTTTCCCTCTTTTCCCCCCTTTCCTTTGCCCCTTTTCCATTTCCCTTTCTCCCTCTTTCCCTTTTCCCTTCTTTTTTCCTACTCCCATTTCCCCTTCCCCCTTTTTTCTCCTTTCCCTTCCTTTCCCCTTCTCCACCCACCCCATGCACTCCACACTTCTGGAAGTGGACTGGAACTTTTCCATTCCCAAATTCCCAAATGATTCCCGAATTCCCAAATAACTCCCGAATTATTCCCGAATTCCCAGCGCCAAGCGGGAGGTGCTCCAGCAGATAGAGCAGCGCCAGGAGCAGCGGGCGCTGAGGGCCGAGCAGAAATTCCAGGAGGGCCAGAGGTTCCTGGAGCACCTGGAGCAGATGAGGAGGGAGGATCGCGAGGTCTGAGATTCCCAGCGGGAATTCGGGAATTTGGGAATTTGGGTCTCGGGGCAGCACGGGACGGGATCGTGGCTCTGGTGGCCTTGGGGATGTGGTGGCATCAGCGGGAGGGGACACGGAGCTGCTGTGGATCCCAGGGAATGGGGATTTCATGGAATGGGGGGGGGGGGGGGGGGGGGGGGGGGG